AATTGTAATGATATTGTTAAACATAACTATTCACAAATCCTTTCCATCCAGTCTGACTGAGCTTAAGGTATTTTTGCAAATAAGAACAGGCAAAGGTGACACTCTAGAAGACGTGAAGCTTTGATTTGAGAAAAAGTATTGATCAAGAAAGTATTTCTGCAGGAGGTTTATTGGCTATCTATTTGACATGAGAATTGTTCTCATTCATCTGGCAGATGCAAAGCAGCGTACCATCTATGAGTATCATCGTGTTGAGATTGACACCACAAAGATAGTCAGTGGGTCTGCCTTTGAATTCACCCCTCTGCCGAGTAAGAGCTGTCTTAAGTCTGACTCTGTGTAATGGCACAGCATCATTATTCTATGTTTTAACTGGACTCCTGTGTCTGATTCCGCCAGCTTGTCTACAGCACACATCCTGTGAACTCTGCCTAACATCCAACTTGACAACCGGTTGTGGATGGTGCAACACACTCCAACGGTGAGTTAAAGCACAATTTATTGATATTTGTTGCCACAGAGATCCAATTTGTTCTAATTTGATTGTTTCTTAATTTCAGATGTTCTGATGGCATTGACCGGCATAGACAAGAGTGGCTGGATTACAATTGCCCTGAGGAGGTGAGATTCCCAAAGAGTCATTAAATCCCTGAGGTGAGTAGGGTGTCTATCAGTTTACTTCACTCCTGTGTGTGTTAATACAGTCTAAAGGTAAATGTGAAGACTACAACCCGATGCTGCCTGAGGCAACTATGAGCTCGTTCAATAACTTGTCCCCCGAACCAACAACTTCCTCAGCAGAACTCGAAGAGCAGCCAGTCACGAGAGGTGAGTATTTGCAAATGTTTTGCAAATTTTAAGTATACTGCACAAGGTGCAAGTATGGACAAAGCTAAATGACTGCTCAAGACTGTTTTGATTTACACCTGATCTTACTCTGGTCAGTCCAAACTGACCACATGACAGCATTAGAAATCCGACAGAATATGGAGGGTCTCAAATACATCTGTAAGACTGCAAAAATAAATAAATACTTGTACTTAATGATGAGGAAGACAGTGGAAAGGGAGGAGGGGGAAAAACACATCTAAAACCAATGAGAGGTTCAAAAACAACTTCATGCTTCAGATCATTATGATGATGAACTCATAGTGATTGTTTAAAAATACATACTGAATTTTGTATGAATGATTCCTTAAATGCACTTGCTAAGCTCTCAAAACACAGGGGCAGATTAAAATTACTGCTCAGATTGGCCCACTTTACAATGGAGAGGACTTTGTCCAGAAACCTTCCTACATTTAAAAGCAAAGTTTTAAATGTAAAATAAATTTAAAACTTTTTCACCCATACATCATATCAGTAAACTAAATAAAATTAATGGCTGGGGGAGTCAGGAACTAAGTAGCTGAGTACTGGAATAAAAATCAGTAAATCAGAGTATCATAAAAATTGACCAAGCTTAGTACTTCAGGTAAATAAAGTGAAACTCATATATAGATTAATAACAAACAGAAATAAATTTCAATTGTTTGCACCCATATGTACATATCAGTAATGTTTCTAACAATCTAATTTATTCTACAAACATATTTTTAGAATTTTTGATTTTTTTCCCCCCATATTCTCAGATATAGAGCCCAGTTCTCCTAACCATAGGGGGATAACAGAGAACACAGCCATCATAGCGGGGGTGGTGGCTGCATTAGTTTTGCTGGTAACGCTAACATTACTGGCAGTTTACTACATCAACACACACCCCACAGTTGCTCCACCATTCTACCTCATGCAGGTGAGAGAAAAAATAATCCAACAGATTATTAAGACCAAATCATTGTGTACTAATCACTAACTGCTGTTGTAATTTTATTTCTTTTTAAGCGACGCACAAATAACTACTGGCCCTCCATGAAGTTTCGTAACCAGAGCTGTCACTCCACCTACGCTGAAGTCGAACTTGGCGTTCATGAGAAGGAAGGTTTCATCGAAGCAGAGCACTGCTGCTAAATGTCTGGACCTTTTAAAGGGAGCACGCAATGTTGAGCAATGTAATGGTACAAAATAAGGAATGAAAAAAAAAAAACAGACTTTCAGGCGGATTACTGACACGAGATGTCCTTACTCCAGTCGTGGCTGGACAGTGTTTACTGTACCTGCTCTTGTAGCTCTTCCCAGCTTTCTTTATCTGTTTTCGCTGTCTTGCCATCACACAGCCATGTGATCCAACGGTTGGGAGGTTTAACAAGATGAAGTTGATCTTCTAGACCTATTGATGGAAATGACCGTTAGGGAATGAATCGAACAAGCCTTTATACTGCAAACCAATGTACAGCTCATCTTAATCTATGTTTTTTTCATCATCCATTTTATGGAGTGTTTTTGTTTGATGAAACTTCTACGCAAGATTTGACTGGTTCATACTGATGCTATGTGGACTTCTCTACAACAGATATCTAGCTATTCAAGTGATAGTGAATTTATTGAACATCTGAGATTTTTTCTTGACAACTATTGTATGAATGGATTTTAGAGTAACCAATGTATGGGAGTTTTCTCTAAAACTTTCTGTTTAAGTGTCTTCTAATAAAAGCTGCAGGACAATGTGGATCTTGATTGTTTAATGAAAACAGGGACAACGTATGTATTATAAATACAGGTGAGTATTGAAGGTAAATGTGTTTCAAGATAGACAAGCCTGGAGGATAAATGTGAGCCTTTATGGAAATCTAAGCTTGGACAGCTAAAGGGCTACAGTTCTTGTAACGCGCATATAAAATCATGTAGGCTAGTGTGAAATTCACACAACCTTCCTACGTAATTGTTTGAATAACAGGGAATAACAATATAACATGATATAAAACATAAAAAAGCTGATTTTACATATTACCCTCCTTGAATAGATTTTTGAGCACTCGGATTTGGCTCCATCTTGTTTTCGCCACAAGATGGAGCCAAATAACCACAATCTAAAACGAATAGAAACAATGATTGTAATGGATTTAAATAAAGAACAAATATGGAAGCTAAAAATTGGAAGCAATACTAAAAAAAAAAAAAAAACATTTTTTTTTTTTATTTGTTTTGCTTATATACAGAAATGCAGCCTGTCGTTTATTATTTGGATATCACAATTAGATATGAAACTACTTTAATGCTGTTTTCAGATGCGTTTAGAAATGGCAAAAACGCATCTGATCGGAAAGCACATATTATTTGATTTAAAAAAATACACCTGGCATAAATATTTATTAGTATAAAGAGCTAAAAAGATTAATTGGATCCTTTGGAAACTGCTACAATAAATTAAATAAGAGCTATGTACAAATAAGAATAAATACTACAAATGTATATTTAGTCAAGGGTTTCCCGAAGAAGACTCATGCACATTTATAAAAAGAGGGGGCACCCGGATTTGAACCGGGGACCTCTTGATCTGCAGTCAAATGCTCTACCACTGAGCTATACCCCCACGCTCCTGTCCTGACGACTCAGATGTTTAAGATGCTATGATAGGAAGTGGCAGTTATTCTCGTGGTATGGCATAATACTTTCCAAATACATGTATTTCTTACGTAAATGTATATTTTACTTCGTGCTCAGCACAGAAATCCCTTTGACGACACTGCTCACAGACACGTCAAGTCAGCGTTTCCTTCATATTGTGAGTGGCAACGTTGCCTCCATATGTCGAATAATATACACCAATTAAAGAAAAATATTGCATTTCACATTTAACTCTTTTTGCTGATTACGTTTTACACACTATAATCATGCTAATTATAGTACCTATAATTATTACCACTGAAACAAAAAAGTAAATCTTTCAGCAAATCGAAATAAGTTTTGAACGATAACATGCTTATAATACATTTAAACTTACCTCAATTAAGCTCTGTCAATGCATCAAACAATATATCTTTCATATAATTCAATTATAATAGTTAATCAGTGTTTATATTGCATGTTTCATCTTCCCCCTGGCCCCACTCCCCGCGTTTCACCAGAAATGCCACTTACAATATGGCGCTAACATGGCGTGTCGCTGACGTTCGGTGCGTGAACAACATGGCGGACTCAGTTGTTATTAAGTTGTCTTCCAGCAGATGGAGCCATTTAGACGTTATGGAGGATTAGGTTTTCGACACTACGACACAACTTATCTACCTTTCGAATACATATTTTAACATTACGTTGTCAGATGCTGTATCTGCATACAAACTGTTTTTACTTACTGTAATAACTCAATCATAGTTAGCTGTGATAAATATTTCAAACACGTAATTGATTGAAATTTGTTTACAAAATAAATCGTTTCACTAACACTCTTAAAATTAATTTTCTATCATTTTGGTTATGTATTTAGAATACTAGATTTTCCTACACTTAAGTATAGAGATTTATTTTTTTCATCTGGGATCTCCTTGCATCTTATCGTCGCATTGTGTTGTGTGACGTCAGAGCAGCTAGTTTTGTGTCATTTATGTCCATAAAATACATACATAAAATATTCTTTAAAATACAAAGTATACATGTATATTGGATACATATATCATCCAGTACAAATTTGACTACTCTTTTAACTGCTTGACTTGAGATGATGCTGCATTCAGGTGCAGGGGGAGAAAAAACAATTTTGTTGTAATCGAGCAATAAATTAGCCCACAATAATCCGCAATATGAGTAATGCAACACAATAAAATAGAAACGTTACGTTCAAATGCAAAAGGAAAAAGGCGTTGATTATGAAAAATTAAATAATTGCAGAATGAAATAAATTCAATTAATAAGAACTCTGAAACTAGTGCTGGTATTAAGTTTTAATGGCCATACATTTTAATGATATCTTATAGTCCTCCTGCTAGTTTTTATATTCGCATAAAATGCGGTAAAAATCAATCTTACGAGGATAAGCGAACGCTCCAGGCAGATTTAGCTCCTCCTGGATTTCCACTGTAGTATATTACCAGAAATGTGTCCATGCAAAACGCAGGAACAGTAACTGTTTTTGCTGCCCATCAATGACTCATTAAAAGGATTTGCATTATTATTATTATTATTATTTTTTTTAATTTGTTGTTGTTTAAGTGTGAAGAGTCGCTGTGCTGCCATGAATCCACCGTGTGGGAGATGCAACAAGCCAGTTTATCCTACAGAAAAAATAAACTGCCTTGATAAGGTAAGATGAAAGTCTAACCTTGTTCTCTCATCACTCTGTAGTTCAGAGCTGACATTTGCTGACCTAATCTTTTGGTGACACTCTGGAATTGATGCTTTCATGCCAGTCTCTGCATCTCCACCTAACTGCTTGAATAAATCAAATCAATCTTAACATGCAACTTTACTGCAGGGATCACTAGCTGTTTGTGGGCACATTCAGTTTTGTTTATTTAAAAATATTAAATTCAGAGAAATGTTCTTTTTCGGGATGTGAATTTGATCCAGATGACTTTCTGTATTTGTCACAGACAAAGCACCCTGAGGGAGTACAGCAACCATGTCCGGTTTCTCAAAAGCCTCTGAAAATTAGTAAAATGACAGGGATCCTATTACAATGAGACAATATCATAAATAATAAATAAGAAAAAAATATTAATTGTTACTGAAGGAAGTGTTTCCATTTTTAATGTGACGATGATGCTGTTGAATGTGTTATTTTCTAGAGCTCTGCAAACCTTTTTATTTTGCTTCCCTCCAGTATTGGCACAAAGGCTGTTTCAGCTGTGAAGTCTGCAAGATGGCCCTGAGCATGAACAACTACAAAGGCTTTGAGAAGAAACCCTACTGCACTATGTGAGTGTGTTCACAGTGACCAATAAAAGTTGAAGACTATAAGCAATTAATTTAAAGTTCTTGAATAATTTCACAATACCGACACGGAGCAGAGACTGGACACTCTAGAACTGAAAGCTTGACTTGTACTTGTTCTTGGACTTCGCTCTCTTTCATTTATAGCTTACTAGAGAAAAAAATTATATTTAAGTAAAAACTTGGCATCGGGCCTGGTGTTGGTCTTTTATGGGATTTATTTTTCTTTTTACTAGTTATTTTGAGATAAACAAAAAGCAGTCTCAATATAAAAAAAAATATTGTATACTTTTTCTTTGACTTCATAATCATGCACTAATTATTTGTTGATCTCTAACTTCTTTGAACATCTTTTCAAAACAAACCAGTTCATACTTATAATAAAATTGACATGAAGGATGAATTATCCTAGTCGAAAGCTATCACAAACGTGAATAATGACACTTAGTATATTTATTGGAAATAAAATGTATTCGCAAAAAAATGTGATACATGCAATCACAGATAAAATTTGTTACTAATCAAACTGCCTTCAGTTATCTCCGTCTGCTCATATCTATCTGTTTAGTGCAAAATAACAAATTTGAAGAAATCTAAAGAGAAATTTGTATGGGCTTCAATTAACAATTACAAGATTGTTAAAGTTTATTTAGTGAATAACATTTATTTATGGTTCTGGTCTCTCGTTTGAGTTTTAAGAAAGGGGCTGATAGCTTCCTTTTCAGCTAACCTAACATTATTCAAGGATGTAAAAGGTTGGAGGAAGAAGAAAATAAAATTTAAAGGAGGACAACCAGAAGTCCTGTAAAATGTCAGCCCCATTTCTCAGCATGACAGCTGTTCTAATGGTTCTGCCCTTGGGACGTTCAAGTGATTTCTCACGTTGGATTGAGAACAAATTATTCAAACTGGAGTTATCTCCCCTTGGTTAAAGAAAAGCCATGTGGGAATATTGCACGGGAATATCGCACGGATTACCAAAAGTCTTTAGAATCAAACTGGTCTGAACTGATCAGGCCCAGTTGTGATTTTTCGGGCAGATGTTCTGAATCTTTCTTATACTGCCATCATTCACACACCCGTTGTTATGACATATAATGACTTAAATATCGATCATTTTGGAAGATTTTCCAAACTTCTAAACAGAAACATAGTGTAATTCCCTTCAATGTAGCACATCGAAAGCATGTCTGAGGGACAACATGTTAACTTGACCTACATTAAGTCATGGTGAAGGTGTTTTGAAAAGCCTTCGGGGAGTAAATGTGTGTGACAGGTCAGATATTATATGTTTGCATTCACCTCAATATAGATGAACTGAATTGAATCTTCTAACCCCAAAAAACAAGGTTCTTCTGTGACTTTAAATTAATTCCTACAGAAAATGGGTGTCAATTTACTCATTTTATTCAACACCTTTAATGTTTTGATTTCATGCACTCATTTATTAGGCATTATCCCAAAACCTCCTTCACCATTGTGACCGACACCCCTGAGAATCTACGTCTGAAACAACAGACCCTGCTCAACAGCCAGGTGAGATCGGGCCTCTTTCTCTGCCTTCTCACTTTTCTTTTTCTCATCTCATTTTATTGCTTTGTGCAACTTTCTCTTTCTAATCGTCTCACTCGTTCAGCTCCATGTTTGCTCCAGCAGGGAAAAGCAGACGTATCTTTCAGTTCATCAGTGCTCTCTGTTATTGGAAGAGAAGCTTTAACTTGTCTTCTTTTACAGGCTGTCTAAATCTTGGATTTTTGCATCTTAGCTGCTGCTAACATTCACAGATTTTCTTCCAAAAGCCAGTTTATGTCAGTGAACTGCTCTTTAAGCGCAGAGTCCCTCTGTACCTTCCCTGTTCTTAAGCTCTGGTCTAATCACACTGTTCCTGCCAGCTAATTAACCTGAGCTCAGGGATAAGTCCTCCAAGTCACGCAAATTCAACAAGATTCCCTTGCAGCGTAACTTTGGATACTCTCCTGTCTCACAACATGATTAAAAACGCTATGTCCATTTAAGGTTGCGGTTTCATAAGACTGAAAACTACTTGTGATTCTCAGTCACAATCTTTAAGTTGACTCAGAGGATAGTTGGATGAATGCCCATACACCGATCAGGCAGTGTAAAGTTATGCCTAAAGATGTGTTTGTCCACACTTGGCCTCCAAAATAGACCTGATCAAACCTTTAAAATTGATCATAACGCTGTAAAACTCACTTTCACCAACATGCAGTGGTGAAAGTGTCTAATCTGAAGGTCATCTGAGGGTACTGCATTGACTATCAAATAGATAAATGAGTTGGCATGACAGGCACACAGCTGGTCCCAGTTCACCATGGTGTGGCACTCCACTGGTGCTGAACACAAGGGGAGCCAAACAGCCGTGGGATCCTCTCCAGCAGCTGTCTGACTGGCAATGCCTGCTGATGTTTGAGACAAAGCAGGCTTAATGCGGGAAGAGAAAAGTCCTTTTTTTTTAAATGACTTGTTGCTGTCCTTCAACAATAGCTTCCTTCTTGCCACTCTTTCATTAAGGCCAACCAATAATTGTCCTGTCAACAGATTCTCCCGCCGGACACATTTGCTATACACTCTTTCCTCTGTCAGGTGATGGGTTGAACAGAGCTCTGTCAGACGTTGAAAGCCATAGATTTAGTTTCATAACCTAACTCTAAGATCAGATTACACACAAGTAGACAATGTTTTCACAGTAGGAGACTCTTGTAGTGAATTTTATTTGATGGTACCAGAGTAAAAGGGGCTGAAGACAGATGAACATCACAGGTTTCAGTCTTCTGTTGGTGAAACATTCCAAAAACCTCGCATCCTCGTCCTTTCACTGAAATGTGTTTCATTTTGATTTTATGTGTTATGTGTCAAGTTGTTGCCTGAAATATATATTTATTTATTTATTTATTTATTTATAAAAACAAGCTCAAGGGGTGAGAACAATTTTCATTTTATTCAATTCCATCTCAGCTTTACTTGACCAGAAAACACTCTACCAAGATTTAAACAGCTCTTTAACAAGAGAATCAAAAGATTGGATTCAATTGCAAACAGAGGCATAGAATAAACAAAGAACTGTGGCAACACTAGTGTTTTAGCGCTACACACGTGATGAATATTTCTGACCCACACTGAAGTTTTTGCTTTTTGGGAAGAGCGGACAAATCACAAAAGCCTGTTCAAACAATCATTATTTTCGCACCAGCTGCAACAACAACAAGAATCCCAGGAGGAGATCTATTTTGGTTCCAGATGATTCCTCACAGCCAAGCACAGTAATTGTTCTCGTTCTACAGAGCTGTAAGGACCAAATGTAAAGCCGAAGAGTTGCCCTTCTCTGTTTTGTCTGGATGAAGCGGTTTGCGTCTTTGTTTATAACCATAAAAGTCTCTGCAGTTGAGTTCACTCGCGGCAGCATATTCCTCATAGCAAGAACATGACTCATTTGTGTTTGTGCCTTTGCGGATGTGCGCGTGTGCAGAGTGCAGGGATCTCAGATATAGTTTCAAATAAACAGTTTGACTTCGTTGAATGTAAAATGTTCCCCACGGGGAACTGCAACAAATTGGCACTTAAATCACAGCTCAACTGTGCTTTCTTCTGCACCTATCACCTACTTCAATTATGAAATATTTGATTAAGTTATGATTTTGTTGACATTCTGATGAATCTGTTCATTTTCATCCCTAAAGGTTAAGCTTAGTTGTTTTAATAAACCCTTCATTGGAGTTGACAATATATTTGGTGAGGAAGTCTGGAGGACTATTTATTCAACAAATTCAATTGAAAAGCCCCGTATGTCCCACAATTTACATAAGCAAAAATGTTTGTTTTTCTCATACATTTTTCAATCACCAAATGTCACAGCTATGCAAAGTTCTTTAAGAAATTAGAAAAACACACAGCAGACCAATGGTATCGTAGAAGTTAGTGACCACAGCCGCTTGCAATTAGCTGAAATCCATAAGTACGTAACATCCCCTTTAAAAGTGCACAGTTGTCTATGGCATTAATATAGTTAATGTAATATGCATGCACTGTGGAAACAGCATTATCACTACTGCAGAAGTTATCATAGTCTGTTTCCATTCTTGGGGCTACAGTCGATCAGTTCCCAAGTTCCATTTTCTTTCAAATATTTTAAGATATTTGCTATGAAAATTGGTGAATTTGCAAATGCTGAACTGTGAACCAACCTGTGGCTGTGCAGCCTGTATATCCAGCATGTTAGACAATAACTGCTCATATGTACTCCACACAACTTTGTGTCAAAGAAACTAACTGTCCCGCTTGATGTCAGCTGTAAATAAACTTGAACAAGATGAAAATAATACTTTAAATGTTCTAAAGGAATAAGTATTTTGTAGTAAAGGTAAAGGTGATTTTATTTATATAGCCCATTTTCAGCAACAAGGCAGTACAAAGTGTGGATACTGAAGAGCTTTGTGACATTTGGCAACAAATAAAGCAGCTTTTCATCTGAAAGACGATTGGTGTTTTTTTCAGGCCCTTTACAAGGAGGACTTTGAGAAGAACAAGGGGAAAGGCTTCAGCGTGGTGGTCGACACACCAGAGATGCAGAGACTGAAGAAGACGCAAGACCAGATTAGCAACGTGAGTGCAGTTTTTACTTAACCCCAGATTTTCTAATCCAAAAACACATAGTCAAGCCAAATGCCACCCAGCATGGTCGGTTTTGGAAGCAAAACTGAAAAATAGAGTTTAAGTTTGACCTTCTTTCCAGGTCTAGCAATGTCTACTTCCAGACTTTGTTTCCTGTCTTATTCTCTGGAATTGAATGTCCTTCTGTCCATCAGTCCATTCATCACCTCCTGGCAGTAAACAGTGTTAGTAGATTTCCTTTTCATAGTGAGCTTTTGTATTAAAACTTTGAAATGGCTCATACGGATCAGCAGTTTTGGAAATTTGTGTGTGGAAAAGTGGAAACTTGACATGTGAAAAGTGCAGGAACCCTGCAGATGGCAGCGAAGGAAGTCAGAGAGCAATCCTGCAGAATCACAAAGGCACATTTCTGACATTTCTCCTCGTCCGCTCCGGAGCAGCTGCCCTATATGGTCAAAATCCCTCAGCTGTGGACATAAACTAAACTGCGCTACACACACACACACTTCCATTTTCTCTCATGAGAGCATGTGTTACAGATAGGAATGATGAGTATTAAGCTGCATGTCAAAAGGCCATAATCTTTTTTTTCCCTCTTTTCCCACATTGTTCTGCATTTTCTCCTGCAGAACTTTACTGTGGCATTAGCTCCCTCTTCCTAATCCTCTTTACGCTCTCTGTGGGCTGAAGCTGCTGCACCTGAGTTACAGTGCAAATATTTTTGCTCTTGTTGCCATCTCCTAAAATGGTGAACTGTTCGCATTAAAGCAAAACCTGCCGAGAGGGGAAACAGTTCAGTGTAAGCATTTATTGCCCTCTTGTGGATTAAACGTGCATTTGTTTGTGCAGATCAAGTACCATGAAGAGTTTGAGAAAAGTAAGATTCGAAGTGATGCGCCTCCTCCTGAAAACAGACAAGGTCAGATGTTTCTGCGTTTATGACTTTATTGTTTGTTTGTTTGTTGTTTTTTTTATAAAAGCATGGTCATGTGTCTGTACATGTGTCTGTACAGAACAAGAATTGCAAGCATCAAACTCTGAAAGATTCAACCAGCCTGCTGAACAGATGCGCCCCGCTGTAGTGTCGCCACCTAGTGGAGGGGTAAGGCAATAACATCAGTGTTTGTTTAAACCCGAGTGGGAGGCTATTAGCTGATCTTAAGCAATTGAGTAATTAATTAGACTGTGAGACTGTTTTTGTACATTTCATAGTAAAAGTATTTATCCTACTATGAATTTCTCATTTCGTCACAATGTCCAATATAATTTCTTTGGATATTTGGGAAACGCCCCCAGAAAGTCGTGCATATGGTGTTAACAAAAGGATACGTGGCTTTGACTTCAACAATAAAATCTGAAAAGTATGGCATACAATTTACCTTCCACTTTGTACTTTGCTGTAAGCCTTGAAGGGGTTTAAGTAAATATGTGGAAGATGATCAAATGAGACAAGGGACATTTATGGGCCTATATGCAAAGCAATTATGTGGCAAAAATAAACATTACACATCATTCTGAGCTCATCATCCTCAATGAAATATGACAGTACTGTGGTGTGTGTGGATGCTTTTCTTCAGGATGGACAGGGAAGCTTGCCACAAGTTAGAAGGAATAGCAAACTGGGTAGGATACCTTTTTGAGGACAAAACATTTAGAAATCCATCCCAAAAATGTCAAGGAAAAACATCTTTGCTTATTTGAACATCTGTGGGCGTGCAGACCTGAATGAATATTGTTGCAACAGTCTGCCCTCTGTTCTCCAGCAGGGAAATCAAATGCAAATCAATCCATTTCAACTCAGGTTTGATGTTACATATGTATATTTGTCCCAATCTCGCTTCCTTCTCTCATTCAGAAGCGTTACCAGGCCTTGTACAGCTACGTGGCAGCGGAGGCAGATGAAGTTTCTCTGCAGGAAGGTGATCTGGTCTTGGATGTTGAGCCAATCGACGAGGGCTGGATGTTCGGATGCAACCAGCGCACCGGGAAGAGGGGAATGCTGCCGGCCAATTATGTCCGACCTATTTGAGAAACAATTAATATACATGTAAACCAGGCAAAGCACACATTAGGACAAACTCCTGCAATGTGGATTTAGACTGACTGCTGTATGTTAAAGAGTTTTTCTGGCATTTTGACTTTTGGTATTTTTCAGTAAAGTGGAACTGGCCCCAATAAAAAAAATTAAAAAAAAACCTCTATCTAAAAAAAATGTAAATTTCAATATAAAACTTAATTTTAACTACAGGCTGTAGCTTCATGATGCATTCATTTCTGAAATAGTTTTTTTGTTGTTGCTTAAAACTTCAATTTTGCTTATCTGCCAATCTGTGCCTTCTAAGGTTGGAAAAGAAAATACAAAATATTTATTATATTTAGCTTTATTCAAAACATTGTCACAGTAAAATTTTACCTAAACATTTTAAAACAAATACTTTTCTTTACAAATCATGTTGAAGTTAAAAAACAAAACCAAAGCACCATCTTAAAGTTTTCAAAAAAAAAAAAAATGTAGCACGGACAAAAATGATCGGCAGAGAAGGAGGTAGTGTTGCTGTGAAAACAGTCCTTCACGCCGTCGGCGTCAGCTTCATGGCGGACAGACAAGCAGCCCTTCTGATGATTTTTTTATAGAGCTTTGACGGCAACAAGTCGAGCCTGAAGAGCTCAGAGTTTCCGCTGATGAAATCTTCACTCAATCTGGAACAAAGAAAGTATATCAATTAAATGGTACATATGCTCAGAATACTTTACTATGCTTTAAACAAACAGCTAATAGTGAAAATAAATAAAGGTTATTTTTAAAAAGCTACTTTAAAAAAAAAAAAAGTTTTAAGGCAAAGACAAACAAGAGCTCAATTCCTGGTGTATATAGCCTGGCGATAAAGATTAATCTCAACTTAACATTCACTATAAACAATAAGAAAGGAACTGATCTGCAACTGGCAGAAGTAACTTTCATTGTTCAGGGCATAAAAAGTTTTAAAATAAATCTTTATTATGACTTGTACACAAACAGCATAGTGTGATGCCATTATTAACCAACAATAAGTTCATTAGCTTTACTTCAACTCCTCAGGTGCAAATGGACCAACACAGGCCGAGGGTGAAAGCAGTAAAGGCTAAGAGTGTTCCCTCAATTTTACTGTATGCAACATGCAGGGGTAACAACATACAGAGAATTAGAGGCCAGGCTTGGATTTTATAACTGGGTTTTTTTAAGTATGGGTTCGCAATACCTGCAGAGAGAGTACGGCTGCGTCTGGAAGATTAAAACGTCCCTGCAGTGATGTTGCTTTGGAGCCCTCATAACAGACACCTGGAAAAGTTTGAAGCATTAATGCCTCATTAGAGATTAAGTGCTTGAAAAAGTAAACTACGTGAGCCGCAAGGGACAAAAAACAATCGCATCCTAAACAGGATGTATATCAAGCTCAGCAGATCAAACTATGGTTATGTTTTTCACTTTAGAACATGCATGTCACTTAACACAACTGGCTAGTTTATTAAAGATGTAAAAATCAAACATGGCTCATAATTTGAAGCATTAAACCACTTGTAGTGAATTACGCAACTGCTTTGATCTCTGGCTCCTATATTAGCAGTTATTAGGTTTAAAAGGTACATCAGCTATTTGCTGCGGCCTGTTGGTGCTGTGTGTAAAGGGCTAGATATAGTTTTTGTGTAAACATGTTGTGAAACAGGAGAAATAACGGAGTTGGATTTGCACATACAGAGTCCACAAGGACGCAGAAGTCACTGTTTCCCCCAAAGACGACAACATCACCGTCACTTCCCAGACAAGCAGTGTGACAAACCCTGAAAAAAGAAAGAAAAACAAACAGAATCTTTAGCTGAAAGTCTTTAAAAAATGGTTGATAAAAAGTGAAAGAACCTGACAACCATCCTTTGGTAGATGAACTATTTTATAACTTTTCAGCCATTGGCTCTTCGGCAGTATCCCTAGTAATTTGGTTCTTATAGATTCAAACTGAAAGACTCAACAAATTGTGAACAGACATCTGGCAAAAGAAAATAGAAATTGAATTTAATGTTAGTTATAGCTCATCTAAATTTTGGATTCTGGAATTTGGTAGCATTTTCCACTCACAACTGATTAAGAGATCAGGATCCAAAGTGAGCAAACAGATCAGTTACCTGGGCTTATCATTGTGTGGGTGCTTCATCTTTGTCCACTCTCTCTTCTGTGTGTTAAACAGCCAGGCATCATCTGGAAGTGATTATATAAACAGTGTTTTGCAGTTAACATGAACCAGAAGAAAATAAACTTTACAGGCCTCAAGTTAGTCAGACTTACTCAGGGTTTTCCCATTCATGCCAAGGCCACCGTATACGAACAGAGTTTGGTCCGACACAGAGTTCATAGTGTGCATGAAGCGCCCCGGGGGAGAACCACAAGGGAAGTTGTCACTGAGTAAATCAGAGCAAAAAAGGCAGTGAAATTATAAGCTGGGTAATAGAGGCAAAGTCAAGCCATATGAGCAAGAAAATATTTACAATCTACTCCAAGTCCAGGTCTCGAGGTCCAAGCAGAAAATATCCAACTCTCCCGTTTCCTGCAAACAAAAGAACGGTACATCATTTTTGTGGGCCATTAAACACTTTATTTTAGCATAGAACTAAAATCTGCTCTAACAGATTTTTTGTTAAATAGCAGGAACTTTAGTGGGGTCTAGCTTTGGTTAAAGGTGATCGAGTTAAGTTCTGATTTGTCTCAAAGTTCCTAGAGGTGACAGGGCAAGGCATGGGCTCAGAGAAGAACCATTTGTGGATGGAGCCCTCTGTCCCGTCACAACAGGAAAGAGCTTCTGAAACAGGAAAGGGCTTTACCCAAACTGTCAAGAGGGAAGTCTTATCCTATACAAATCTATCTGGAACATCACAACATGTTGCAGCATGAATGTTTTTCCTAGAAATACTAGCTAAAGAATGTCTGATGAGAAGATTGCTTCAGTTGAGTTTTTAAGTTGCTTGAAACACTCACCATGCCACCAGTGATGTAACCTTTGTGTCCTAGTATGGAGCTGGCATGGCAGCCTCTAGGAGAAGGAGCAGGACCCTGGATGGAAAAAAAAAATTTAAATAAAAAAATTCTTCTTGTTAACATTCAGACACCAGACAGGCAGAACATGTACATAATTCTGTCAGATATTGATTAAATTTATTGCTAGGCAGCAAAACCCTTGAAAGTACTAGAATTATGACAATTTAATATTCAGATAAAGCCATGCTGTTACAGTGTACACAGCCTGTTTGCCTTCTTTACATCCAACATGGAGACTTCCAGCTGTTCATATTTAAGACAAAACAGTAAGGCCTTTGTTGCAGCATTTCATCTGGATGGTTGTGTAGCTAATGAAAACACAAGATTTAGTTTCTCAAAAGAATTGAGTATCACATTAGTCACACCCTTCTTTCCTTTTCCCATAAAAATGTAAAATCTAGCAAAAAAAAAAAAACAAACAATAAGACAGATTGCCAGTCCCCTGTTTGTAGTCGGCTAACACACAACATAATCGATTTTTTTGATTATGACGAATTTATGCGGACTATAAATTCATATAATCAGCAGAGGGGAGAAGGAAATGTTTTCAATAAGGGATCCACAGAGTCCTTATCAATGAAGGGTAAAAGTAGAACAAAATCTGTTATTTTATAAGTTTATAAGTTTAGTCTCCTCTGTTGACAGACCTGTGCAAAGTTCCAATTTGTTCCACAAAAAAAAAATAAATGTGATCCTTCGTCTACCTCACACACATACACAAAAGACGACTTTAAAAACCAGGTTTAAATTTTATCTTCTGGTACTTCACTACTAGAAGCCTGATGCTGTCTTAGTAATACTAGCAGACAACATTTTTTACCCATCCACCATATTCAACCTCACCTGAGTCAAGGGTGCGCTCCATGTAGAAGACTGCGTGTCAAAGACGCAGACCTCGTTATTCCATCCCCAGCATCGAAACAAAGTGTTTCCGATCATTGCCTAGAAGGGTAGGAGAAATAGGAATCTTGTTCAAGAAAAATAATCCAACGCAACAAAATGTTGCACTTTGCCAGGCTTGGCATTTACCCAGGACATATCTTCTACAATGAAGCTTGATGATGATGTGTTCTGTGCCTCTGCTACGGTCTTACAGCCATATCCCCCAAAGTAGATCAGTCTGCAGGAACAATAAGCTACTATCAATATGGAATACTGAAAGAAACCCAACCCTTACCCTAACCCTTAATGGAACGTCAAAATAGCAGCCCATATTGCTTAACATATAAAAACCATATCACTATGTTGGAAGAATTGTAAAGAGGAACAGATGACAGTAGAGCCAACAAGCAGACAGGCTGATGGCAGCAACCTGACCTGCCTCTGTGTACCCAACAGGAGTGATTGTCACGGGGTGAGGGCGTCACTCCCTTTGTGTCGGTGACTCTTGTCCAGGAGAAGCACGGCTGAGCAACGTCCACTCTGAACAACTGCAAACAGAAACGGACCGCATTGCTCTCAGTCAAATATTTAGCTCCACATTTTGCAACTAATTAAATTTTTTATTATCAGAATTTGTAAAAACCCACAAGACAAACTTCATCTAGCTTTTTCAAACATCATTATGAAACTTTACCGACCGGATATAGAAGCTACAGTTAGTCAGGCACCACTTCTATGGATTTTTTTTTTTTTTACTTGCAAAAGGGAGACATTCACAGTTTGATGTCCAACCCCCTCACCTGGTTGGAGTATCCGTCAGAATCGCATCCTCCAAAGATGTAGAGCGTGCTGTTAATATTGGAGCCACAGAACCCAGATAAGCCTTTGGGGCTCTCTCCAGTGATCTCCTTACACTCCCTATTTCACCAAAAAGAAAAGGGTTAAAGTAGTCATTGTCAAGGGCTGGCTACAGTTTTAGCACAACTGACTGCAGTTTTCTGAACCGCCAAGGAAATCTTTTCACTGATTCTACAAGCAATGTTTTCAGTCTGAAGCCACCAGTTCTATCAAAATGAAACCTCCCGGTTTGCATTCCTAACTTGAAGGTCAAAATGACACAGCTTTAATGTTTGCTGCTGCATAGCCTTGTATCTCACCACTTCCCACTGTCCAGATCACAGAGGC